AAGTGCTTCGTTTTGCACATAGATTTTTCCCTATAATGTTCAATAATAATAGTAGTATGCTTGGTATGCTAACCTGAATTAGTTTCTGGTGCTTGTTTCACTCTTATTGTATCACCTGGGGCAAGGTGTGTCCCATTACTCACCTCAGTGTAAAATGGAGATGATAATGTTATTAATACTCATCTCATAGGGTTTTGTGGAATGAAGTGAGAGATTGTGTGTTAAATGCTTGGCCCTGTTTCTGGTTGGTGGTCAGGGCTCAATGGAAGTGAGCAGTTATCCTTTTCCCAGGTACGCGTAGTCACTCACCTGACTTCACTGTTGCCCCAGGACGGCCCATTCCTGAGCCCTCCTCCAGCATCCGGGACTTGTCAGGGGACACATGCTTTGCCTCCAATCAGGTTCTCTTCATGGGAATCTGTTAGCCTGCATCTTGACCCGACTTGTCAGCTTCCCAGGATCCCAATCCTTTTGTTTCTCCTCAGTGTCTGGTGTCTTCCAGGGCCATTGTATTGCGTGCTTACATTCTTTTCCTTGCTTCTAGCCCCTGGTAATTGTACGTTCTTTAGGCTACACACCCTCTTGATATTGGTTGCCTTTCTATTTACCCATGCCTGTTCCCAGAGTCAAAAGTATGTATTGCGTTGGTGAATATTCTTTGGAAACATTAAGTCAAATTAATTTTCTTTCCCATGACTTTTAAATTATAAAATGTATTTTGAGTATTCTTGGGTATGTTGCGGTTGCACTCTATTCTAGCTTTAGGCTATAAAAAGCTCAGAAATTATTATCGGTCCCCTTTCTCTTGAGTGACAAAGAAACAGATGGAAACTTTTTACAAATATGGGGTAGTTAGATCATGCATGCATATAATTACAAACTTAACCCTATGCTTTCAGAAAAGGAGGGAGCACCATCATTACCGTTGAGGGATTACATTAGTATTGAGGGATTCTGCCTGTCAGTGAACATGTACTTGGACGGAGGGTGAGATGAGACATTCACCTCCTTTTCCTCCATCACTCTTGTCCTGTGCTTGCAGTGTGAGCCTCTCACCGTGTGGAGTGTAATTCTTATGCTTAAAGGTAAGGCATTTTTTTTTAAGAAAACACAATAAAACACCTGAATGTAAACTAACTTCTAGTTAGTTTACTGGAAGTACTTAATCTAGTTTACTAGAAATACTTAATCTGTGGCTTAAGTAAAGAACCAGCCAAACATTCCCATGATAAAGTAAAACAAAACAAAACAAAAAAAGGCTATGTTGGACTTACTGAGATAGTATGTTTTGTATATTATTTTTGGGGCAATGTAAGGTATTTTCAAATATAAGTTTTCCTTTACAACTTAATCCCCTCCATTAGGTGCTAGTCCATTTTATTTAAAATGAAGCTAACTGATAAAGCCCAGTTAAGCTAAAAATATCTGTATCATATAAGGCACTCAGATGATGTGTGAATGAAAGAGTTTTATGATTTAGAGACAAACTCAAGTAACAAAAACATTGTTAAATTCCCACTGTAGTAATTTCCTCACAGTCTTCGTCTATATTGTTAAGGCATTTGTCCATTCCCACAGCTTCTGTTAGAACTGCTGATGATTCTCAATTTCCTCTCTGTAGCCAAGAGGATCTCCTTGACCTTCAGAATCATATCCAATGGACTATTTGCACGAGGATGTCCCACCAGGCAGGCAACTCAAACACATTGGATGTTACGCCCACAGTTGAATATGCCCACTTCACCTCTCCACCCCCTGCACCCCTCTAGCGCCCCTCTCCCTGCCCCCCACTTCCCTCTGACAACCCGCTGTTTTCTCTTTCAGCAAGGGCATTACCACTCTCCACTTAGTTGCCCAAGCTAGACACATGGGTACAATCTTTACTCATTCCCCATATGCAGCGATCACTTCAACTGTCCCTTGGATCATTAGGTCTCTGCATTTCAGCAGTATTGGTTGAGGCCACCATCACCTTCCAGCAAAATTAGAGCAACAGTAATGGTCTGCCCTATGGTAACAGGTGGGTACTAGACTTATCAGGAAGGATCACTTCACAAGCTCTATCAATGTCTAACCACTACGCTGTACACCTGAAACAAATATAATACTGAATGTCGTTAATGAAGAATACCAAAAAATGAAAAATAGCAATGGTGTCCATGCTTTCGATATTGCTTCTCCAGTCCAGTCTCTACATTGTGGCCAGAATAATGAGGGCAAATCTGAGGGTGGTATCTGAGTTTAAAATACTTCAGCAGACCCCTCTTTTTTTTTAAGGATAAATTCCAAATTCCTTTAGAAGTTTCACAAGGACCTTCAAGTTTTAACCCTTGTTAAACTCTTTAGCTTTCCCATCCCTTTAGCTGTCATTTTCAGCTCATTTTTCATACTCAATTGTACCATCCTTAGTGTAACTACAGAGTTCTGGCCTTCAGGAACAAAGAAGACTAGATGTTGGTATGGAACAGACACAAATGCAACTGGCTGTCATTTAAACGAGTTGTGTCTAGTCAGACAGAAAGAATATTTTAGAAAATGCAAAATTTCAAGCGGGCTGGTAGGAGTGTTGGAAGAGCGTGAACTGCAGGACAGGAGCACAGACTGCCTTCCACCTAACAGACAAAAGAATCGTTCAGGATGTAGTTCTCGTCTGGCTTAACCAAAGCCCGTTGTTTCTGCAGGCTGTGGATTTGGAGACCTCTAAAGTTATAGGGATCGAAAGTTCTGAGTGTATCTCTGTGATTCAAGTAGCTTCTTCTCAGAAGTTTGAAGCCCATAAAAGGTACTTCTTAATCATGGGTTTTTAACCATGAAGCAAAAGGTGAATCACCAACCCAGTGATGTCAGCTTGCTCGAGGTTCTAAAATCTACTTTTCTTAGTATGTCTTGGAAGCCTGGGAAAGTTTACAATTAAATGTGGATATTAAATCAAAGCCCAAAGTGTTATGCTTTGTAATTATTGAGGCAATCTATATGCACTTGGCATTAAAGTATTTGTAAATTCTTTTAAAAATTGGAATATTGTAGAATCTGACCAGTTAGCCATGCAATTCCAGTTTAAACTAGATAACGAATGTTAGACTTGCAAAATTGAAAAGGATATATTTTAAACTTGTAAATAATACTGAAATGTTTAAGAAAATTTGATTTATGGCATTTATAGATATAATGAATTAGATTTGAAAGTGTTAACCTGATTGTTATAGTCACATTTGGACATCCGAAGTGCTTAAAAAGCAAGTAAAATCTGTTAAATATGTATACCCTATTTAACACTTTAAAGAAACTATATTGCAATAGCTGGAGAAGACACCTGAAACCTTCCTAGAAGGATGGGTGGGATGTTAATAAATAAAATTCCAGTAGGAGGGAAAGGCGTGAAAAAAGTTTCGGTGTTGGGAGAGTGTATAATGTATTTGAGGAACCTTGAGTTTCATTTGATTGGCCCAAGTGAGGAATAAAAGGAGAGCAATTTGGAACTGTGGCTGGGTGAAACTATAGAAGGTCTTGAGGCTGGATTAAGTGCCTGGGAGTTTTTCAGTAGGCAGAGGGGACTCCTTGGAAAATTCTGAGAAGGAATAACACAAGAGTTGACTGTTAGGAGGAAGAATGAGGGAGGAGAGTTAAGAATAAATTGGTTGGAAAAGAGAGAAGACGTGACCCAAGAGTTCAGGGGCAATCAGGGACTGGACTAAACACACGACAAACTTAAACAGACAGTAGGGAAAGAAAGATGACGTATAGCCGAAGTTTGAGCTTCTGAGTATGCCTACCAGAACAATTAGGGGCAAATTTTTCCCAACGCTGAGCTCGTTTTTACTCCAGATTGTCTGACTTGGACCAGCCAAAGTCAAAAGTCCATCCAGGAATAAATCCTGAGGTCAACAAGTATTGAAAACTCTAATTCTGTCCTCCCTAGAGTATTTGTCCAATTATGAAAAATTAGCACCTAACAGGTTTTTCCTCCTTAAAATCTCTAGTAATGGTAGCTGTTTTAGGAAAGGAGCAGCAAACATCACACAAACTTCAGGTTCTCAGCTTTTCTCTAGAACATTATGTGTTCATTACAGCAACCATCTTTTAAGGGGGAAGACTTCAGAGCCCGGGACCTGAGCAGGACCTGTGTTGTCTGCAGAAGGCAGCGTGGTAGCAGTACGTCCACGCAGGTGTCTCAGTGGGGGTCCAGTGAAGCATTTGACCAAAATAAATCCTATGCCATCAAAGCATTGTGTAAAATGAAAACACTGTCTACTTTTGCCTTTGTTGGGTTTTAGAAGGTAACGTTTCAATGTAGAACCTGCTTCTGTGCGAACAAAAATTAAAAGTAGTTGTTGAACTACTGCACCTACCTTGGGGATGTACCACTGATTTTTGGTAGTGAACTTGGGGCCAGTTTTTCAAAGATACTTTTTAATTTTTTGGTCCTAATCTTCTCATCATATGTCTTCAGTCTAGAATAATGGTACATAAGTTGCTTTTCAACTTCCCCCTCATACCTCTGCACTTGTCTTGGAGTTAAGGAAGAAAAATTACCATTTGTAACCACTGTTGAAAAACTTGAAAAGTGTATTCCAATTCCTTGTTCTGCTCAAAATATGTTCCCAACCTCTCTCCTTGCTTATAATACATTACATAGTAAGCATAATGAGGAAGTTTGTTTATTTTCTATATTATAAACTCTAAAGGGGCTATCTTTTAAAATACATAATAATGTCATTAAAAATATCAATATCAAATATCCTCAGATATAAAAAGACAGCCAGTTTAAAAAATATACTGTAAATTGCTGTTTATAGCAGTAATTCTTAGACAGATATTTTAAATAAAAAATACAAAGCACAAGGCCTTACATACAAAAGTTTTCAGTTAGGTGGAGTTGAAATAACAAGCAGTCAGAAAAGCTGTCTTATTCGTGCTTTACAGGTGAGAACTCTGCAAGTTTTTAATGTAAAAAGACTGAGCACTACCTGAATACAATAGAAATTGGAACAAACTAAAGCTGGGGATTTCCCAATGATTTTATTGAGGTAACTTTTCCCAATTTTATACATATATGCATTTTTATATACTTAAGAAAGCTAAACAATGTTCTAAGGCACTTGGAATTGTGCACAGCAAGATATTCTATAATATTATACAACTAAATAGAGCATAATTTTGCTTTTTAAATAACACAAACACCAGTACAGAATAAAAAAAGATAATACATAGTCTTTCTTTCAGGTTATGATAGTGGAATACATATACATATGTGTGTGTACTTGTAGATATTTATACACAAATGCTATAATACAGTACAGATCAAGAACAACAACACAAAAAGAGAGAAACTGTCGTGTTAATCGGTATACAGTTCCAGTTATTTACACTCACAGATAGTATACCTGTGCAATATGTAGGGTTCGATCACTCAGTGGAAATCAGGAATCAGTCAGTCAGTCTAATAGTGATCACAGTTTACCACCCTTCTCACTTTAACCAAACCTTGAAATAACAGCTACAGTTCTTGATTCGAAAATGACTGTGACATAGACAAGAAAATGATTAGCTTGAGTTTTGGGTAGGTACCAAATCTGATGCATCGGTGAAGAATGTTGCAAACACATTGGCACATTTCTACGCCACAGAAGAAATATTTAAAAATATATAAAAATATTAGTGCCTCTATTTTAAGTAATGACAGTGGTTTGACCCTAGATTCATGCAGATTGTTTCTGAACCCTAGTTCGCACTGCAAGGGTGACTTCTCCCTGCGGGGGCACTCTAAGTGATGGAATGGAATAGTCAAACCATAACAAAAGCGTCCAGTTAGGGAAAAGCCCCCCATATTGGCAAGTGGCACAAATATTATTGGCATTTTAATATACCATAAACTTGACCTGAGGGTGGAATGGCATTCTGCCTCATTTACTCCCTTCAATATATTATTGAAAAAAAAAATACTGGTATTTAACGAGATACGAATTCTTAAGCACCATCTAAAAGTTGACAATGTAACCACTTTTATCAATTCTGAGTTGCTCTTTCTCAAAAAAGATTTTTAGAAATTTGAATATTTAAAAAAATTATAGTGGCTATATTAATTTCATTCCATTAGCCACAATTCATCCAAAGCATTTCAAGACACATTTACCATTCAGGTTTGGTGAAAAACAACAACAACAAAACAACGAAGACAGTAAGTATATTACAGTAATGTATATGTCTCTGTAAGTATATTACTGTACAGTATATTCCTGTAAGTATATTACTTACTCTCTCTGGAAGACAATGTCTTCCTAGGGAAAACTTGTCCTGTTTGGGGCATGATCCTCAATGAAGGATGAACACCACACATGCAATGCACAGTTCACCCACATTTCCTTCATAATTCAATATTCACAAATCTCAGAAAAGCTGAACCACATGACTGTATTGACACAGGGGCAATGAAACTTTGCATGCGGATTAAATGATTCCTTAATGGGATAAGCAGGTGGCTGTTTTGGAACGAACGCAAGGGATGCAGCTTCCCAGGTAAAAATCGAACAGCGATGTTCACGGCCCACGGGCTTTGTGTATGTGGCGTGTCAGCCCTCGTGTTTGTGGTTAAGCCATGCAACAGTCCTCACGATCTTCACAAGGGCTGTGAGCAACAGTGGCGCTCTGAAGTAAAACTGAGATCAAAACATGAAAATGTCTGCTTCACGTGAAGCCTCACCTTTAAATACATGCAGGGACCATCCAAGTGCAGGTGCCCTTTAGAACTGCCACGGCTGCCCAGTAGCCTCCTCCCCGAAGAACTGGCAAGTTAAAGCTGCATCGAAGCAGAAGGCTTGAAAAATGAATGGGGACAAAACGATACAGGGCCCGAAGCAATGGAGGGCAGCCGAGAGGATGTTTGGAGACAGACACTTTTCCTGTGTGCCCTGACCTGCAGCAGACTGCGGTGTTCAAGGGAGGTGCAACCACCCTCCTGGGAGGGCATCTGAACACGGGAGAGGCCTTTTTATGTTTGGCTTTTATAACAATGGGGCATCCTACTGGCATTGAGTCAGCAGGGGCCTGGGATAGTGAACAGTTTACACTGTGGGGGCATCGCTGTACAACAAAGAATCACCCAGCTCCAAATGCCAACAGCACCCCCATCGAGAGACATCAATCCACAGTGCTTTGCTCATATGTACAGCTGTGCTAGCAACGCAGCCACTGAACTGCCTTCCTTTGCAGGGGGGCGGTGGTGTGCAGGAAATCCCAGCAGAGCTAAAAAACGATCCTCGCCTGCAGGGTTGGCTTTTGGTGGGAACAACTGCCATAGCCATAGGGTTCTCCTTTTTTTTTTGGCCAGAAATCTTACAGCATATACAATGGGATTTGTTAATTTGGGGTGACTCTGTCTTCGAAAAAGCTTAAGTGGACTACATTTCTGTTGTTTTCTAGATTTCCATACTGAGCTAAAGCTTCATGATTACAAAAGAAAAGAAAAGAAAAAGAAAGAAAGAAAAAGAAAGAAAGAAAGAAAGAAAGAGAGAAAGAAAGAAAATGGCTTGGGAGTATTTACCTTTGTTCCTACCACCTTTTGGTCACTGCCAAATTATATAGTAGAGCCTTACAGTACTCTTGAAAACTTAGGTTTGAGCTATCTGGAGATGTGCTCTCTCTCAGAAAGATGGCCATATTAATTTGATGATCTTCCGCTCTAGGACATATTTAAGTTCTAGAAGCTGATTCTGTTTGTCAAATAAAGCTAAATTATATAACCCACCCACTCATAGAGAGCAAATACTCAGTAGTGGAAGATTAACTATTTCAAGAGGCCGAGAGACAACCTTGTAATAAATTACATCCAAGTGGTTCCTTAGTGTTCACAGCATACTCTAATAATGATGGGGAGAAATTAGCTTTTGTTTCATAGTATATACTTTTTTACTAGTAAGGTTAGGCTTAAAAATACAATTGGAATTTAGGAATGCTTGAGCTACCAGACTGATAAAGTGACATAAATTTATGTATCTCGTCTAAGTTTAATACCTTCTCACCTGTTGTGAAGATTTTTCATTCTATGTGAAATGTGCTGCTAGGAGCACTTGAAAACAGTAACAGATGGAAGAAAATTCTGAGCAAGAAAGGAAGAAAAGAAACCTTCCCTGTTTAAATGTGGGCATACTACTATGAGGTAGACAAGACTGCCTTTTTCTATTGTGAATACAGTATAATTTTCGAAGTTGTGTCTGCCTAACTCCATTAAGTATAAATACAGTGCCAGTTACGTGGTAAAATGTGGTAGTTAATCAGGATAGGCAGTGTTAATGCAGAATTTTCTCTCTTTTAAGTTGAAGCTACTACGGTATTTTTTTATAAAAATGCCAGTGCAGCACTGAATTAACTGCCGGGTGTAAAACCTGAATTATGGGTTTTAAGGACTAATCTCTCATTTTCAATATTAGATCATTTCTGAGGGGGGTATGCAAGTCCTCTGCTTCCTTAAATAGATTTGCATTTAAATTTCAGAACTTTCTTCTTATAGAATATATTTGCTAACATTAGAAAAGGATAAGTGAAAAATCAGTGTGCTAATAAAGCATATAAAATGAAACCAGGAAGTCAGGTTTTTTGGGTAAATCAGAGAGAGATGAGTTTGCCTTTTCCTCCATTTAAAACGGTTATTGAAATACCCCCAAATGGTTCTCTGAGTATTATAGAGTTCATATAAATCATTTGAGGACTTAACATAACGGCAAATTACATTGACCATAGAAAATACAAGTCATTTCACACACACACACAGGAAATTATCAGGCAGAGCCACTTCAAATTAATGCTGCTCGCCAGAGATCAAATTTTTCAGACTGATTGGTAATGACCACAAAGATGCTGATAAAGCCCGTGGAAAGAGCACTTACCAGTCTTGCTCATTCTTTCCTGCCTGAAGCCTTCCTAGAGATGGGTTTGTTTTTTTTTTCCTTAATCAGAAAATCCTGGGGACTCGGAAACCCATGCACTTCCTCTATGTTAGCCTAATGTTGCACTTTAAATTGGGGAAAACATGGAGTTGTGTTACAACAACACGATTTGCACACACATTAATCATCTTTATAGAACCGTAGCTTATTGGTTAGATTGCAGATATGCTGAAATTGCAGAAATGCTCAGGCAGAGGCTTAATTATATTGGTGGGGGGGTGGTTCACACCTTCACATCCGCTCGGGGCCACCAAGCAAGAGACCTCTAGACGGGTCGCTGGGGTGGAAACGCAGTGTTTCTGCCTTGTAGAGTCCGCTGTTAAAAACAGAGCCTGTCCTGCAACATACAGCTTAGTTCACAACCCCCCCGATTCTTTCCACAGCTTTTTATCTAAAGAATCGATCTAATGAAGTAAATGGTGGTTCCAGTTCTTAAATATTAGACTGGCAGTGGTTAAATTTTTGGACTTTAAAACTTGTCACATTTAAGCATTTCTCTAAGCATGGAAATCAGTATGAAGACAAAGTGTGGGCAATTCACAGATCTGAACCTTCCTGCAGGAAAAGCAAGATATCGAGGCACCAGATCCTCATTATTGTACTGGGCGCCTCTCATTGTAGGGAATAAAAAGTTGCATCATATGCACCACTAGTCGGGGGGAAAGCTGTTCCTTTTCTCAACCAAATAGGGACTTTCTGTGACATTCGTAATTAGGGATAAAACAGTGATGTCTTATATTATACACTATTTTTAAGGAGGAAAGGTCTTTTGATTCGAAATCAAAACCATGTTCAAAAATCATATGTACAGAAAATTAAAATAACAGTACAGGCCTTGGTATTTTCCCTAAGACAATAAAATGATAATAAAATAAGAGGGTGACTTCAGTAAAAAATTAGAACATACATAATGTCTATGGCTGTAAACACTATGAAATGGACAAAACCTCAGCCAGATGAAGACACTTGGGCATGCACAAACATTTTTTGTTTCAGAGCAAAAATACATCTTATCTTATTAATGAAATAACAGCAGTGCAGAAACCTATGTTTGTTTCATTAACACACGTGGCTGAGGGCAGCAAGACGTGCAACGATGCTGGTCACTTTTCTTAGTTATAAACGGTCCTGGGTTTTTGTAACAGACCAATTGGGGCCAAATCAGTTTTACTTTTAGGCAAAATCATCCCAGTTTCAAGTGAGTCTTTAAAATATCAATAAGAGGCAAGATCCAAATTTATCTACCAGACAAAGTGTTTGCTTTTTTGGTTGAAATAGAAAATCAGTCTTCCATAGTAGAAATCAGAATCCTCTCAGAAAATTCTAGTCCAAGCTCTGAGAATAAAATTAAGTCCATTTAGCTCTTTTCTTGTTATACAAATTATGTGTCTTTAATATTAAGGGGCACAAAACAATTGTGGGAAAAAACAATGAAATGCAAGGTAGTATACTTGTACATATATGGTCACATGTGTTTGGGAGCAGAAGCCGTGCTGTGCCGGTGACTCCACGGAAACTAGCAAGATGGCAGTAGAGGGTTTATTAATGTAAACAATACTGACTGTAGGCTCATAGGGAGACCTTCCATAACTTTAAAGTCACCCATTTTTTGCACTAAAACTCAATGTTATATTTATGGATGCAATCTGCAGGCTCTTAAAGCACAAAATGAGATTCTCCTCACTCTCAACTTAGCAAAAATTTTCTGTGTTCTTTTACGTCTTTGAGTACTGTTTTGATCCATGTGCTTAATATTTTTAAATAGCAGCAATCCAACTTAATGCAGCATGGAAAATAAGTAGTCCTTTGCAGTCCTGTTAAGAGCTATCTGCTGGCAGAACACTTGCATTTTGCTTAAGTTTTAATTTTGGAATCAGATTTTTAAAAAAGATGTGATTGTCAATATTATCTTCCTTAGATCAAGCATGGTTGTTTCAACTTTGAAGGTAAGCTAGGGAAAGACCAAAATATTTCTTTCTAAAGCTTGCTACAGTTTAATAGGGTCACATCACATCTGACTTTATTCCCAGTCCTGTTACCCTTGTGGTACATTAGGTAAGGAGTATTAAACGAGAAAAAGTAAAGTATGTATATCTATGCTACTTAAAGCATGCAACAGAATTTGGGTAAGCATGCTTGTTAAGAGACCATAAAAGCCTCTTGCATTTAAGAAAAAGATGCATGAAAACACTCAGACTTATCTCTGGCAATTGGTTCACTGGCACAACATAAAGTAATGGTACTATACAGCACCATCATAATGGTGAAAGAATTTTCTTCTAGGATCAGGTCTCTAAGGAATCCACACTGGGTGATTAGATCCCAAAATCCCTTAATAAGTTCTTAGCTATCAAAAGCCTACTTCAAAAATACATTTACGCTTCATTTTTTTCTTTGCTTCATTAACATAATGAAATTTTTCTCTTTCTTCTGGTTTTCAACCCCCACCCACCCCTTTCCAGTGCCCAGCCATTCCATTCCCCGTTTTTCTTTTGTTAAAACCCGCACTCTAAAATTTGGCTTTCTGGTAACAGGGAGCCAGCGATTGTCTTCTGCTTATCTTCTTTGATTAAAACCCCTGATGAAGAATAACTGGTGTAACCATTGTGTCCCTTACCATCAATACACATGCTGGACAGCAAGGTCACTACACTCATCATTTGCTTGTTGGCCACATCTGGGCTGTAGAGGTGGGGAGCTCTTTCCACACGCTTCTTCTCCACAAGTGAAATGGAAACACACACACAGTCAAATCCCAGTGCAATATCAGGTGTTCGGGAAGCAAGGCTTCTCCCAAAGATGATCAGTCTATGTTTCCAAAGAGTCTCGCACCTCACTATGGACGGTGAAACCTGAAATAAGAAGATGGAAACTCTGAGTCTGTGATATAGAAGCACAGTCTGGATCCGGTGAACCGAATAAGGTACGGCGATGTCTGTAATCGGAGGTGGCTCTAGACATTGCCCAACTGAATTACTGTGCACAACAGAATACTGTTATAAATGTTCTGTTGGAAAGCAGAGACAGACCCTGTAGAACAGACTTTGGCTGTATCATCCCAGATGTAGAGCAATCAATACACAAACATCACGACCCTTGAGCATCACATTCTGACCTGTACTGAGCAGAGTGAGATGTTTCATAAGGGATTTGGTTACAGCTGGCTTGCAGTTATACAAGGAAAACATTAACAAAGTGTCACTATTTCATTAGTTTCTTCTGCCTCTCATCACCTCCTGCTAAGGACTCCAAATCTACTTTCTACACCTGAATTACCAATTGCCTGCTGGGAATTTCCTTCCAAATGTTCCACAAGCATGTCCACAACCACACAGATGGTCTTTTCTTGTAAAACTGCCTTTGCACTTTCTATCTTGTTAAATGTTCTACCTTTTCAAGTGCTTTTTAGTTTAAAACCTCAGATTTGCAACTCATACCTCTCCTTCACCTCCTATTTCCCATTAATCACCCAATTCTGCCTCCATTGCCCACCTCTGAGTTCACTGAAGCCCTCACCCCCTTCTGCTGGCACACTTGAACAGCATGCCAGAGAGCTAGCTGGCTTCATATCCCTCCATGCAAGTTCCCGAACATTCCTTGTGATTTTGCAGACTGTGTTTTGAACATGCTGTTCCCTAATAGTGTCATCCCCTCCCTTCATTTTTCATCTGTGTTCTCACATTCAAGATCAAGGTGAAAGGCCATTTTCTCCATAAGGCCTTATCTGATCTGCCTCTTCAGCCTGTTTCTGTGAGTACGCATTTATGTAACTCTATTAAACATTTTGTTGGTCTAATATAATCTAATGTGCACCTGCACCAGTAAACCAGGCTCCTCATTCATTTCCCTGTCCGGACCCAAAGATTTGGAGATAAAATCTATTTTTCACATGGTCGCTAGCATTATCATCATAAATATTCATCCAATCATTCTTACTCTTTGTTAATATCACTTACTGTTCTCCATTCCCTACAAAGTAATATTTAAATTTCTTAGAGTAGCAACTGAGGTGTTTCAGGATGTGGCCCAGCTTTCTGGATAACCAAAGTTTATTTATAAAAAACTGAAGTTTATTTATAAAAAAGTGTGCATTTATTCTTACATGTTTAAACTTCAGTCACTTTCAAAGTACTCTCCATCTGATGCAATACACCTATTGAGATTTTTTTTTCCCACTGCTCAAAACAGTTTTTGAACTAGTTGATTCTGATGCCTTTTAGTGCTTCTGCCATTTTTGTTTCCCTCTTCCACATCGCCAACATATTTCCCTTTGAGGACTTTTTTTCATCTGGGGAAACAAAAAAAAAGTCGCTCGGGGCGAGACTGGGTAATAGAGAGGATGGGGCATGGGTTAAGACCATTTTTGGTCAAAAACTGCTAAACACCCAGTGAGATGAGGGCAGGTGCACTCATAAATCACCCATTACGAAATGTGTTGAAAGGATCTTCAAAACAATTCACTAAAGCTGAAATAGCCTCTTACAACAACGCCAGCTGGTGCACTGACACAGATGGATTCCTAGAACTCTCACCCAGCAGGAAAAGCCTGTATGTGCTACAAGGGTCCTGCTTTTCAGAAGATAATTCTGGTTTTTTGGGGGGTCCCCCCTCATACCTCCATCACCACTCCCAAAATACAGTAAGTCCCAATCCTTGGCCCCAAATGCCCTCCAATTTTGTGCTCACGCATACGAACAGGTGAAACAAGATAGGCCATAAACTGATAGTTGGAGAAGCTGCATGATAGATGCATGGGGCTTCTTATACTACTTTTGCATGTTTGACTTTCCAAAAGTCAAAATAAAAATAAGATATACCAAGGTTTGCAAAGCATATTGTGACTAAAGTAGAAATGTGTCCATTCTGAGTTCCATTCTTAACTCTATCACGACCATAACCTTGGGCAGGTGTGTGAACTTCAATGCAACAGCATACAAATGTATGCTACATTTGTTCAACAGAGACAATAGTACTGTTTCAGTCTTCAGGGTCTTCTTTTTACCCTCTGATCATGCAAAATTCTCTCCCAGGCCCTTTGCCCGAGCTCTTCCCTTTACCTTAGTTGACTTGCGTTAGGGGTGGAATGTTTTTCTCTCTCCCAAGAGTGCTGATGGCTCCCTCTTGTCACTTAAATCACAAAATATCCTTTACTTCCTCAAGACACCCCTTCCTCTCCATCCTGTCTAGACCCACCCATGCCCCTCCCACAGCATCATGTCACATTTTCTTCATTGTACCTAACATAATTTGATATTATCACGTTTGTTTGTTTGCTTGTTAATGGTTTGTCTTCCTCATTAGAGAATAACCACGTGACAGCAAGGAGCTGAGAGCAAGGACCTCATCTGACTTGGTGTAAATTCCCAGGGTTCTGCCCAGTGTGGCACACTCTATGCACTCAATAAATAATTGCCAAATGCATAATCAATTGAATACATATATACAAGGGTACTTAGAAAGTTATTGATAACTTTTTGTATAACCAATTCTTTATACCTGTAGAATCCAATTATGAGGCCCCTAAAATTAATTATAATTAAATGTATGCTAATCTATGATAGCCCATCTAACTGGACATTGTGTCATGTGAATTTCTAGGAAGTCAACCATAAACAGGGGAAAAACATAAAAATTCTGTAAAAATATTACAAACGAGTAATTGAAAACCTCTTAAAACAAACTCTTTATATAAAATGTGATAGGCAAATAATAATTATAATGATAGCAAATATTTACTAATGTTTACTCTGTGCCTACAAAAAAGCTATATATATATGCACACATATATAAAATATATATCCTATTTGAATCCTGAAAACAATCCTATGAGGTATGTATTCCTGTATCCCCTCTGTACAGATGTGGAAACTGAGGCACAAGGATGCTAAGGTATATATCTGAGGCATAGAACTGGTAAGTGGAGATGACAGGCTCCAGATTCTGTACCCTAACCTACACCAGACAGTAAGATCAAAACATGCCTTCATCCATATGTCCATTGAAAGGGTTTGTGTGTGTGTGTGTGTGTGTGTGTGTGTGTGTGTACGTGCGCCCTGTGGGTGTCATGGAATAGAAAAGGTGATGAGTTGAATTTCTACATGTCGGTCGGTTTTGATCCATTCTGAGGAAAGAAAAGTCTTATTCCACATCCCCAAGCTACTACACTTTGATTGCTACAGTTGTCTCAAAGGCATCTGCCTTTTGTCACATAGACAACTAGATGAGAAAGGGCCCAGTACAAACTTCTTGCAGTTACTAGAAAAGCAAGGCCCGGGATGCTCGTTTGAAACCAGCAGCATCGCCTCCCTCCACGCTGGAAATAGAAGCACTGCCCACACCACGTGCAGGAGCAGGAGCCCCACGCTCTGTCAGTACAAACCGACGCCCAGCCCTGCGGCCCCTCTACCCCATGAGCTACCACAGGCTTCCCTCTGTCAGGGTCAGCTTTCCAGGAACCACACTCATGTGGTTTAGCAATTATTTTAGCCCTCTTCTTATTTGCTGGGCTTCATACACCAAACGCTCCTCAGTGTCCTAATCTTCATTTGGTCCTGGATTCAAAGGACGTGTTTGGGGAAACATGGCATGAGAGGTTTTCTCTTTCCATCGACAGTGTCTGTGGGCTGAGGGAGGTCAATTAAAAATTGGGTTGGGGAACAAAGTGAGTAGTCAGTCAGTGGACCAGAAGAGATTCAGAGCCTTCTCAAGTCCAGCATTTTTCTGGAAAGTGTCCTGTAAAAACATTTCTGAAAATTGGCAGGACGCTGTGAGATTTTTTGTTTTTCTTTCTGCAGACACAGTTTGCCCATGGATCCCATTAGAGAGAGAGTTCCGCAGTCAGGATTGCATGGAAGGTCACAGGCCACTGGCGTCGCTTCAAGGGCTGGCTAAGCGAGGGAGGTAGCCAGTGTGAAGGCAGTCATATGCTGACAAAGTCAGGGATCAGAACAATACCCTCTCTTCATGTGGGCTGCCCAGATATGGTTTAAAAAAAAAAAAAAGCATATATTTTCTCATACCATCCAATCAGGAAAGGACATTTATATAGCCTGTTTAAATTGGGCATGGTATCTTCAAATTCAGCTCTAAAACTATGTTAGAGGTATGGAAAATGCAAATTGTCCTTAAGGTTGTTAACTTGGTGGTTTGCATTCATTTTGAAAATAAGAGCTTCAGCTTCACCCCCTGAGAAATGTGCCCGCCTGACAGAATGACAGTTTTGGCTTTAGGCTTCGAGTTGATGGGGCAATACATACATTTACCGTGCCCTAAGGATACTTAAGTTTTTCCAGCTGTTCTCCCCCCTCAGAACTTTCCAGAGACTCAAATGTGAAGTTATCTATATTTTCTTTTTCTTGTTAAAATTGCAATACATTTTTCTAATTTCCATACTGTTGAGAGGGAGTAAAATGGGGGCAAAAGCTATTTTTAAGTCATGGTATTAAGAAAAAAAATTCTTTTCCATAAAAAAAATATTATTTCCCATGTGGTTCCTCCATAATTTATTTACAAAAATGTACTCCTGTAAATTCATTCAGATAATACAAAATATAAAATTTTTCTGAAATATAAAATATGAACTTTCCTCCATTTGCCTATTTGTTATATACAGGAATCCAGAATATTTCACTTCCCCTTTATTTAAAAGGGTTTGATTGTCCCGGCGTATATGCTTAGGGTAAACAAATATGGAGGTTCTCGTAAACCACTGCCCCTTGCTCTATGTGAGAACACAGTCCACGGGGTGGGTGGGATGTTGTTATTTTGAATGCTGAGCCATGGTTTCAGCTCTGGTGGTTAAAGCAGCATTTGGCAACTCTTTTAAGTTTCCATCCAGGCAGCAAGTAAACGG